CTCGGGAAGATGAGGGCACCTGCACCCAGAGGTAATTCCTGACTTGCATAGGTCCCCAGCATATTGTCATAAGTGGCGACCAAATGCGTCGACTGGTCAGGGTCATTGTCTTCATTGATTGCGTGTCATCGTTTCCCATTGTGTGGGCCGATGCACATATCAATCAATGGATTGTTTGGTCCACACTCGAATACTTACAGGCCGTCGCCATACACCTTAACTCGCCTCTTATAAGACACAAAGGTTGACTTGGGTTTATATTCTCACCCAGAATATCCCAAGGGTGACGTAAAAATGAACTTTTATATATACGGCTTGTTTTTAAGCCTTGGAACACACCTTTTTAAAGAAACTACACAACGGCTGTTGATTATGCATATTGGTCATTACCATTTTGTTGTTTTCAGTGTTTTTAGTTCACCTTCACAGAAAGTCAATAGTACCCGTGGGGATCCCGGGGTATAATTGGACTCTAGCCACCTACGCTTGTAGAGAAGACTAAATGGATCGGGAGGTCAGGCGTCTTGGTGTCTTGGCGAACCCCGACAGCGTGAACCGCTAATGATAATACCAATCACTGGTCTCGAATATTTACAGGTCATCTCTCTCTCTCTCTCTCTCTCTCTCTCTCTCTCTCTCTCTCCGCCATTGCACACACGGTCGTTTGAAATAGCATTAGCATCGTGTGCAGTTAAAACAATTGAATGATTGTGTATGTAGTCGTGTCATGTAACATGTAACAAGAGCTAGCTTTGCTGTTTTCACTAATGCACTGTGGTCCAATATACGAAGTAAACATATCAATAAAGAACGAAATTAACTGCGCTTTTGAACATTAATTGTTCTCGAACGTAGTGAAATTCTGTTGGAAACTTTATCAGTCACGTAGATGCCTATAAGCACAATAGGTACGTTTTGGTTTGGTTTGTTGTTTAACGCCGCACTCAGCAATATTCCAGCTATATGGCGGCGGTCTGTCAATAATCGAGTCTGGATCAGACAATCCAGTGATTGACATCATGAGCATCGATCCACGCAATTGGGATACAATGACATGCATGAACCAAGTCAGCGTGCACATTAGAGAAAGCGGGAACTTTTTTTAGCAATTCTCATTAAAATAGAAAGGTATGACCAAGTACTTGCAGACACTCCTGCATTATCTTCCCTAGGCAAACTGACTGTAAACGTCTGGACCGGAATTTCTGGATTCGATCGTAGCGCCACTAGTGGCTATTACAAATTATGTCCCTTCCATGTCCATTCTATTGACCAATCAGATTCTACCTCTGATATTACTTGCTTTGCTTCAAACAAAATGGCGGCGCCCGGTCAAGACGTAACCATAGCCAAAATATTACTCCATAATTCCATCCTAGTTCGGCAAGGGTGGAAACTGGACTTTTATAATCAGTTAACTCCCTTGCCTCGGGAAGATGTCTTGCATTTGCAGACTCACGCGCTAAATACATGTCACCCATAATGTTCTTATTGAATTATGTTATAGGCAGATTGAGAATTCTAGTATAGATCCTTGCAGGAATAATGACACTTATGCCATAAGTTTAATGACGAAGTGGCATGATGGAAATTACGATATGAATTTAACCGACTGTCCAAAACCTGCAGGGTCACTTGAGACACTCAGAGTTGAAAATGCAGATTTGTACACTAGAATTCAGGCGGCATTGTCTGTGCTCATCACCGCGCCTGTATCATCAGCCTCGGGTGAATCATTCAGTGCAATGTGGAGATTGTGGTCAATATCATGAACCTCACATGCCTTCTGCCATTTCATGGAATTGTTTCCCTTGCTGTAAATGTATTTTACACTTTTACTATATTTCCAGTTTTATACGAGCGAAAGAACGAGGTTAGACGCAGGATATCATGAGAGCAAAGAAAGCATGCACTGTATTGTGCTGTTAGCTCTTACCGCGATAAATTATTCTCCTTTGAACAGTTGTTTAATTAAAGTTAAGGACATAAACAGGGGACTTCATAATCGCTGGCAGTCGTATACATGGGAGTTACCGATGCTATTTTTGAAATATTTTTATTCAAAAATGTTGGTTATGGGGAACACCTTGGGAAAGTAGTGCCGGATAGCCTTTTGTAAAGTTATCGAAATATGACAACCAATTTTGATTCCATGTCAACCGATCAGAATCGCGGAAAATAGGCTAACACATACCCTTTGTTATTATTAATATAAATATATAACCTGTTAAGTTTGGTTGAAAAATTGGGACGCAATGTTTTACTCTTTTACTCTTGTACAGCTTGTACACGCCCTGAAAAGCGACTGCAAATTGACTGTAGACTGTCACTGAAACATCGTTATTACGACAGCCAAAGTCAAAGATATTTATTGCATGTAAGGCCTCCGGCCCATGTACAAAAAAGTTACATATAAGTAGTTTGGGATATTTGGATATTTGATGTTTAACAATTTGTTTCTGAGAGAATTTGTATTTTTAACACATATAGCCAGTTTCAATATGACAGCAGCATCTTTTGAAGAGAGAAGAGAAATAGCAGGGTCAGGATAACTTGACAGATAGCGTCCTGGTATCAACTTGTTTCTTTGATAAGATAAGATTTCTCAGATTTCACAATAATAAGGAGATAAAAAGTAAATTCATTTTCTATAGCTGAATGACATAATGGGCATTTTTCATTTATTATTAGATCTAACAATCCAAGCCTAAATTGAATAAATGGACGTCGAAGGGTTCTTGATGTCCGAATAGATAAGTATTTTTCGGGTTGAATAAGACTCGTAAAAGTTTTATACAAGTCATACCTTGAACTGTTTTCTAGAGTGTAGTGCCACTCTTGGTAAAACATATTTATAGATTGTCCACAAAATTGTTCCAAAAGAGCTTAACATCACCAACTGTTTGGTTTAACCATACAAAGCCGTAGCCATGAGAGTGAGTGAGTTGGGTTTAACGCCGCTTTTAACAGTATTCCAGTTATATCGCGGCGTCTCAGCTTAATGTGGGAGAAAAGTCCGAAGTGATGCAGGTCTCGGACGTTAACCACTTCAGTGAAACCCACGAGCACGGGTATGGCGCTGACAAACCTAGAAACATAATCGGGCTAACCGGGATTCGAACCCACAATCATGGTTTCCGGCGTGCCCAAGGGACGCGACTCTGCACAGCAAATCGCGGCGCCTTAGACGACTGCGTATGTTTTTGTATCAGGGATGACAATAGAATGCATTCGTTGTCTGATCGCATATGGAACTCGCCATCTTTTGTGAAGCTATACGAGATAAGAACAGCGATCTGATTAGATATCGTGTTTTCATACAAGCGGAACAACTCGTGATCTACGCGAGGTGGCGCCAGGGTAGAGCCAAGAAAAATGGCCTTGATGTAGCAAGGGTGGAAACTAGGCTTTGATATAAGCTCGTGGACACGCTCGCCTCGGGAAGATGTAATATGTAATGCCCATATTAATTTGCCCATGTCATCTATGTACAAGCATATTATGATCAAGTTTGGGGATTTGGCGCTCATGCATTCCAAAAATATTAAACCAGTTTTTTCAAGCATCTAATTTGGGAGTTGATGTAAAACGTGTATCTGCCACACTTGCCATAGATCATAGAAAAAGATTATTTTACAAGCTAAAAGATGTAACTTTTAGAGACAGTCGTATGACTGAATTCCCCATACTTCTAATCCATATAACAGTATTGGTTGGATTTGGGCATCAAATAATTTGAAAAATATATTCGGTGTAAAATCTCTGAACTTTCTGCGAGACAGACATTACATTGTTTAAGCCCTTCTTTGCACGTGATGTTAATTCCGAGACACTTTTCTTGAAGTTCATTGAATGGGTAAACATAGTCCTGCACCATGACCGTGGAATATATTTATTTTATGAAAAAATAATAATCTAGAAATGCATACAAAAGCAAGTCTAGCCAGCTCAAGCTAGCTCTATTCCACATCAGCATAGGGAATTTTTTTTTTTAGAGTCAAGAAGGTTATTGTGTAATATAAGATTTCAGAGACTAAATGTTAGTCTAGGGTAAACATTACACCAAGATATGTTTCACGATTCACAACATTTACACATTTACCATCGAAAAAACATCTCTCATTCAGTGCCACCTGACCTAGTCTTCAGAAAATGACAATATTTAGTTTATCGTAGTAAACTGATAGTTTCCACTCTTTGGTGTAACATTCTAAAATGTTATGTTGTTTTTGTAGTCCAACAACAGAATCTGATACTTAAATGACACCATCGGCAAAAAGAAGCATCTTCATTTCTATTACATTTGGGAACGTTTGAATACCCTGTTTACCTTTAGCCATAATTTCATAATACAAATCACTAATAAAAAATGAGAACAATATCGGGCTCATGATACATCCTTGTCGTAAGCCAACCGGGCAGTCAAAGAAATCGGTTCACAGATCACAAGGTAGTCCTGCACCATGACCGTGGAATATATTTATTTTATGAAAAAATAATAATCTAGAAATGCATACAAAAGCAAGTCTAGCCAGCTCAAGCTAGCTCTATTCCACACAATCAGCATAGGGAATTTTTTTTATTTTTAGAGTCAAGAAAGTTATTGTGTAATATAAGATTTCAGAGACTAAATGTTACTCTAATCACAAGGGAACACGATAGGAAGATTGTACGTATTTACAACGGCCAAACAAAAATACACGCCATATATCAAAGAGGGACGCCTTGTTGGGATTCTGGGTTAGAATAGGCCTCTCCAACCTACGTGTATGTTTGTCGTAAGAGGCCACCAAATGGATCGGGTGGTCAGGGTGGGTGACTTGTTTCACTGCGTATCAGCGCACCCTGACGAGGGGGATCGTTGCTCACAATATCGATCACGGGAATGTCTGGTCCAAACGCGATAATTTACAGGCCGCGATCATATAGTAGGAATATTGTTGAGTGCGGCCTTAAACACCAATTCAGTGTCTGCACCATGGACAACAGAAACATTCATCAGGTCTAAGTTGATATAAACCACATTTATTCAGTCAACAGGGATCGTGTCGTGTACTTGACCACAGCCTCATATAACTTCGCTTAGTGCAGTTGGGCTTATAATCATGCAAGTACAGTTACTTTCATATGGTTTGGAATTATTCAGAAAACGTTTGCAATCGTGCCATGAAAGCGTTATGCTAAGTACAATGTATATTAATATATGTGTACTTTATACATATATACTGAAAAAAGGTCTGAACAAAAATCAACATGTTTTCATTGGATCGGTATATACAGTTCAACCACATTAAACTGGACAGGACCATGCAAAGAAATCTTCCGGGTTTCCAGTTATCCGGATGAACGAATAATAGTTACGGAATGATGTTAATTTGTGTATAGTGTCCCCTCTACAAATATTTTGGATCATGCATTACCACAAAGAAATATGACATGTGAACGAAACATTTTTCTGCTCTTCCCCAGAGAAAAGAGAGTGTTTGTTTCTCAGCAGTCTGTAACAGATATTCCCCTTCCCACCACAAACGTAATGACAGTCACAGCGCTAAAATGCTTCGTGTAACGAGGCTGTTTATATTGTCAACGAACATAATACTTGGCAGTATAGACATGGAATATTTGGCCATTTACACATTTGATATTTGGCAGCATACAAATGAAATATTTGGCAGTATACCCATAAAATATTTGGCCATATACACATGAAATATTTGACAATATACACATGGAATATTTGGCCATATGCACATGAAATATTTGACAGTATACACATGAAATATTTGGCAATATACACATGAAATATTTGGCAGTAAAAACATGAAATATTTGACAGTACATAAGTGACATTTTTGGCAGCGTAAAATATAATATTGGGCATATACACCTGAAATATTTGACAGTATACATATTAAATATTTGGCAGTATACACATGGAATATTTGGCAGTATACCAAATCAGTCGCACTGTCTTCAGTCTCCAATCGAGAAACTAACAACTCCGTCTACAAGTGTCCGTTCATCTGCCGATTCAGAGTCTCTCTCGCCATTGGCTGTCTCGTTCTCGTCTCCATGAATGTCGTCCATCAATTGGTCGGTTGAGAGCACGCTCAATCGCCGCTTCAACCGACTGCTCAATCTTGGAATGTATGCTCTAGGCACTAGGTATGTGGAGAGGTTGAACAGGTCCAGGAAAACCTTGTATCTGTCACTGAAACAAAAGTCTGCTGTCAGCTGCTGTGGTCTTAGTGACCCACCAGACCCATGAAGATCCCGGGTAGAATAGCTCTTGGGCAATAGCTCATGCTTGCCGTAAAAGGCGACTATGCTTGTTGTAAGAGGCGACTAAGGGGATTGGGTGGTCAGACTCGCTGACTTGGTTGATGCATGTCATTGTATCCCAATTGCGTGGATCAATGCTCATGATGTCAACCACTGGATTGTCTGTTCCAGACTCGATTATCGACAGACCGACATCGTATTGCTGTAATATTGCTGAGTGCGGCGTTAAACAACAAACAAACAAACAACTAAACTCACCACGTCAATAGAAGGGGACTAAGTAGATCGCATGGTAGCTTGTTAACTTGGTTGACTGTGTGTCATCGTTCCTCGACGGCATGGTGCGTTGTTTATAATGTTTATTGTTTATTTTATTCATTGCGATGCCTCAATAATTGGACAGGAGATATAATCTATTCATTGGTTCAAGGAAATCTACAGGAGGCCATTTGGAACAAGTAATATTTAGACTCAAGCTATTTGATATTCTGGTGGAGGTACAGAGGTGGTCTGTTGGGTGTGAGTTTAAAAACAATTTGTTCCCGAAAATACTCGAAACAATGATGGAAAGAAAGATTTTACACAAAAGTTAACTGTACGCTGATAAGGAGAACACACAGAATGGCCGCTATTGGTTTGATGTGGCATGTCACGGAAACGTGGATGGAAACAAAATCATATGGATTTCGATATGACCTTTGTGAGCGATTTGATACGTCCCCAAACGACAATTGGTGAAAATCCGTCACATTAAGCTGACACGATATGATCTGACTGTATGAAAATTTGAAAAGTCAGGTTCATCAGTTATGTACTTTTACTCATTAATGCATGTGTCAGAGTTTGATTTTAATAAAATGTCCTGTTGCATATTTGTGTTATTATTTGCAGAATGATTTGCAAAAAGATCAAATGTAACCCTATTTTAAGTATATAAACAAGCATGCTATAGTACCGTTATTACCTTATTGTGGATCGCAAGTACTGATACCCCGAGGACCCTCCGGTGCCGACCTTGCTGCCGATCATACGCTGAACCATCATCACATGATTATCTGAAAAAAACAGTACTCACATTGACTCACACTGATTCACATTGACTCACACTGACTCAAACTAACTCACACTGACTCACATTGACTCACACTGACTCACATCGGTATCTTAATATGACAATTATACTACGAGGACAAAATAGTATGAGTGTATATTGCACCTTTTGCAGTGATATTCCAGAAATATCACGCCGGGACACCAATAATGGGCTTAACCCAGTAGTCGTAAGGGGAATCGAACTCGGCCTATGTGCGTGACGTTCGAACGTTTTATCCAATAAGCTACCCACCGCTCCTGACCTGACAAGGTATAGTTCGTGTTATATATACATGTATGATACATATTGATCAATTATTAATTTATATAACTGATATAGTTGCCATGACGTTTCAAGAGAGTGCAACCCTCAAGCACAATGATAACTGTCAGTTTCGGATGGGTAAAGGTTACGCACCGTCCCTTCTCATTTCCACATACTCTCAAGCACAATGATAACTGTCAGTTTCGGATGGGAAAAGGCTACACACCGTCCTTTCTCATTTCCACATACTCTCAAGCACAATGATAACTGTCAGTTTCGGATGGGTAAAGGTTACACACCGTCCTTTCTCATTTCCACATACTCTCAAGCACAATGATAACTGTCAGTTTCGGATGGGAAAAGGTTACACACCGTCCTTCTCATTTCCACATACTCTCAAGCACAATGATAACTGTCAGTTTCGGATAGGAAAAGGTTACACACCGTCCTTTCTCATTTCCACATACTCTCAAGCACAATGATAACTGTCAGTTTCGGATGGGTGAAGGTTACACACCGTCCTTTCTCATTTCCACATACTCTCAAGCACAATGATAAATGTCAGTTTCGGATGGGTAAAGGTTACACACCGTCCTTTCTCATTTCAACATACTCTCAAGCACAATGATAACTGTCAGTTTCGGTAGGGAAAAGGTTACACACCGTCCTTTCTCATTTCCACATACTCTCAAGCACAATGATAACTGTCAGTTTCGGATGGGTAAAGGTTACACATCGTCCTTTCTCATTTCCACATACTCTCAAGCACAATGATAACTGTCAGTTTCGGATGGGAAAAGGTTATAATAACACACCGTCCTTTCTCATTTCCACATACTCTCAAGCACAATGATAACTGTCAGTTTCGGATGGGAAAAGGTTACACACTGTCCTTTCTCATTTCCACATACTCTCAAGCACAATGATAACTGTCAGTTTCGGATGGGTAAAGGTTATAATAACACACCGTCCTTTCTCATTTCCACATACTCTCAAGCACAATGATAACTGTCAGTTTCGGATGGGAAAAGGTTACACACTGTCCTTTCTCATTTCCACATACTCTCAAGCACAATGATAACTGTCAGTTTCGGATGGGTAAAGGTTACACACCGTCCTTTCTCATTTCCACATACTCTCAAGCACAATGATAACTGTCAGTTTCGGATGGGAAAAGGTTACACACCGTCCTTCTCATTTCCACATACTCTCAAGCACAATGATAACTGTCAGTTTCGGATGGGTAAAGGTTACACATCGTCCTTTCTCATTTCCACATACTATCAAGCACAATGATAACTGTTAGTTTCGGATGGGAAAATGTTACACACCGTCCTTTCTCATTTCCACATACTCTCAAGCACAATGATAACTGTCAGTTTCGGATGGGTAAAGGTTACACACCGTCCTTTCTCATTTCCACATACTCTCAAGCACAATGATAACTGTCAGTTTCGGATGGGAAAAGGTTATAATAACACACCGTCCTTTCTCATTTCCACATACTCTCAAGCACAATGATAACTGTCAGTTTCGGATGGGAAAAGGTTACACACTGTCCTTTCTCATTTCCACATACTCTCAAGCACAATGATAACTGTCAGTTTCGGATGGGAAAAGGTTACACACCGTCCTTTCTCATTTCCACATACTCTCAAGCACAATGATAACTGTCAGTTTCGGATGGGTAAAGGTTATAATAACACACCGTCCTTTCTCATTTCCACATACTCTCAAGCACAATGATAACTGCCAGTTTCGGATGGGAAAAGGTTACACACTGTCCTTTCTCATTTCCACATACTCTCAAGCACAATGATAACTGTCAGTTTCGGATGGGTAAAGGTTACACACCGTCCTTTCTCATTTCCACATACTCTCAAGCACAATGATAACTGTCAGTTTCGGATGGGAAAAGGTTACACACCGTCCTTCTCATTTCCACATACTCTCAAGCACAATGATAACTGTCAGTTTCGGATGGGTAAAGGTTACACATCGTCCTTTCTCATTTCCACATACTATCAAGCACAATGATAACTGTCAGTTTCGGATGGGAAAATGTTACACACCGTTCCTTCTCAATTTCACATACCCTCAACGTGCATGTATGATTTTCAAATATGTGCATCTGCATACTACATTAATCTCTTTTCTTTGTTTCTATATTTGTTACATGACATTATCGTTTTCAGAAACAGTGAAACAATGACTCCGATGCTACAAAAAGTGTGTTCAACATGATGACCAACATTTATAACACCTATCAAAATTCCCATTCATAAGTGCTGTACATTTGGAGATGTAATATTATTCATAAGTTCAGTCTGGAAGACAGTAATCTCATTTTGGTAGATTTTTAATTCACCGTCAACACCTTAACGTTAGATGCAAGAACACAATGTTTTACTGATCACTACTATGAGTCTTGTCATATTTGCAGGTGATGTGAAATTGGGTTTAACGTCGCGTCCAAGATTATTGCACTTATATAGCGACGTGCATGCACGTGCATGTGTGTGTGTGGCTGCTTGTACTAGTCCGGACTGATGCCGATTTATAGTGCCAGCCCATTGAGATGCCATGCCGCAGTTTAACATGAATACCCCACACAGACACAGTATACTGACTCCGAGCCGAGTCTTTGTTTAGCCCCTTAATGCCGAGCGCGGACAGTACCAACAAGTACCATCTTTTAGCGTATTTTGGTATGACGCGTCCGGGGATCGAAGCTCGGACTAACGTTTTGATAACGTTTGTAATTCTTTGGTCAAATCTATTTTTTATTTTTTTGTTTTGCCCGTCCGTTTACACAATACCATTTAAAAACGTTATATGATGCACGTGCCTCATGCGGATTTCGGGTTTAGAATTGGTCTCCAGGAACAATGTATGTCGTAAAAGGCGACTTTTGGATCGGATGGTCGGTGATTTGGTTGATTGTGGGTCATCATGTCCCGAAGACGTGGCGCATGAATATCCATCACTGGTTTGTCTTGTCCAGACTCGATTTATTACAGACCAATAACCTATAGCTGAAATATTGCTGACAATTACGCTATTAAGTTTATATTTTAGGAGATATATAGATAGTGGTGATGAACGTTTTCTTGGTCTAAAAGTTCTCCAGACGTTTTGTAAAACTTACATCTCCATTTCGTCATGAGAGAGTCGATGTCCATTAACAGCGTGATGAGTTTATAGGGCTGGTTGAACCTAGGCTCGTCTCTGTAGAGGGAGATGAACAGCGCCCCTTGGAAGGCTTTGTGGCTTAAACGACGTTCACCTGAAACACGACATGTTGGTAATATCCTAGTCATCTTCTCGAGGCAAGAGAGTTAACTGACTTTAAAAGTCCAGTTTCCACTGGACTTTTATAGTTCGAATAGTTAACTGACTTTAAAAGTCCAGTTTCCACTGGACTTTTATAGTCAGTTAACTCTCTTGCCTCGGGAAGATGTATCCTAATCATCTCAGGATTATTGTTAGGGTAAGAGAGTGATTTGGGTTTGACGCCGCTTTAAACAGTATTTCGGACATATTAAATCATAGGTGAGGTGAGGTGAAATGGGGTTTAACGTCGCGTCCAAGACTATTGCACTTATATAGCGACGTGCATGTACGTGTGTGTGTTTGTACTAGTCCGGACAGATGCCGATTAATAGTGCTAGCTCACTGAGATACGATGCCGCTGTTTAACATGAATACCCCACTCAGACACAGTATACTGACTCCGAGCCGACCAGTCCTTGTTCTAGCCCCTTAATGCCGAGCGCCAGACAGGGTAACAACAAGTACCATCTTTTAACGTATTTTGGTATGACGCGGCCGGGGATCGAACCCCGGACCTTCCGCTCTCCGGGCGGACGCTCTACCACTAGACCACGGAGGCGGTCTATTAAATCATAATGTGGGTGGAAAGTCCGAAGTGATACAGGACTCAGGCATTTACAACTTTGGCGCAATGGACAAGGATACAGCGCTGGAAGGACAACGATCATAATCAGGGCGAGCATGGGATTTGAACCACGACAAACGTGGTAGGTAGGTGATGGGAATAAACACAGTGTATTCTGTCTTGTTAGGCGGTTCGATACCCATGTGCCAATTAAGCATGGAAGATCGTAGATAACGTATAGCTAGGGACGACTTATTGACTGCTAGTGTCAAAGGTGATGTTAATATGCCGAGGAGATTTTTTTACAAAAGAGGACAGGAGTTATTAATATCAACATTTAAAATGCATTTGTAATTTTACGTTTCGGGATGACCGATACGTATACGTATCGACAACTGACGTGTCCCATTTCTCTGTGGGGTTTCCGGGCTAGATGTGATCCGCATGGACGTAAACCAGCCCACGGACAAACAAGCCATACCTCTTTCTCTGTGACCGTTGTAAACAGATTCATCAAATATTGACTGAAAGGAGTCCTGCGAATATAAAAAAATCATTTTATTTATCAAGTAACGTTTTCGCTATTGTTATTGGAATATCAATTTACAAAAGGAGTCAAGTTTGATCAACACGTTTTTTCTGATACTTGATTATGTGACAGGAATGCTACTCTACACATATAAATATGAGACCACTCCCCCCCCTCCCCCCCCCCCCCCCCCCCCCCCCCCCCCCCCCCCCCCCCCCCCCGCGCGCACACAGAGAAAATATCAATTGGTCGCAGCTCTAGGTTCATTTCAGATTCGACGCCACCATTTCATCTGTCCTGCCTCTGACTCCCTGGTTGGTGAGAATAATTTCATTGGACGGCTATATTTAGCGTCTTGCCATTCGAGGGTCTAGTTATGTTAATTTTATTTAATGAATAATTGATGACTGTACCTTTTGTTTCTGGTATTCCTGCATCATGGTCTCCTTCTGCAGCGGATTTACTTCTTCCTGCGGGAAGATGACACTCATTAAAAATGTGTTAGGTTTCCATGATGAGGCGATGGGGGTGAGCCCGGAGTGGTTGAGTGAGTGAGTGAGTGCAGTGTATGAGCACGGACGTACATACATATATGTACGTCTTTGGTATGAGTGAGTGGGTGAGTGAGTGAGTGAGTGAGTGCAGTGTATGAGCACGGACGTACATACATATATGTACGTCTTTGGTATGAGTGAGTGGGTGAGTGAGTGAGTGAGTGAGTGCAGTGTATGAGCACGGACATACATACATATATGTACGTCTTTGGTATGAGTGAGTGGGTTAGTGAGTGAGTGAGTGAGTGAGTGCAGTGTATGAGCACGGACGTACATACATATATGTACGTCTTTGGTATGAGTGAGTGGGTGAGTGAGTGAGTGAGTGAGTGAGTGAGTGAGTGAGTGAGTGAGTGCAGTGTATGAGCACGGACGTACATACATATATGTACGTCTTTGGTATGAGTGAGTGGGTGAGTGAGTGAGTGAGTGCAGTGTATGAGCACGGACGTACATACATATATGTACGTCTTTGGTATGAGTGAGTGAGTGAGTGCAGTGTATGAGCACGGACGTACATACATATATGTACGTCTTTGGTATGAGTGAGTGAGTGAGTGCAGTGTATGAGCACGGACGTACATACATATATGTACGTCTTTGGTATGAGTGAGTGGGTGAGTGAGTGAGTGAGTGAATGAGTGCAGTGTATGAGCACGGACGTACATACATATATGTACGTCTTTGGTATGAGTGAGTGGGTGAGTGAGTGAGTGAGTGAATGAGTGCAGTGTATGAGCACGGACGTACATACATATATGTACGTCTTTGGTATGAGTGAGTGGGTGAGTGAGTGAGTGAGTGAATGAGTGCAGTGTATGAGCACGGACGTACATACATATATGTACGTCTTTGGTATGAGTGAGTGGGTGAGTGAGTGAGTGAGTGAATGAGTGCAGTGTATGAGCACGGACGTACATACATATATGTACGTCTTTGGTATGAGTGAGTGGGTGAGTGAGTGAGTGAGTGAATGAGTGCAGTGTATGAGCACGGACGTACATACATATATGTACGTCTTTGGTATGAGTGAGTGGGTGAGTGAGTGAGTGAGTGAATGAGTGCAGTGTATGAGCACGGACGTACATACATATATGTACGTCTTTGGTATGAGTGAGTGGGTGAGTGAGTGAGTGAGTGAATGAGTGCAGTGTATGAGCACGGACGTACATACATATATGTACGTCTTTGGTATGAGTGAGTGTGTGAGTGAGTGAGTGGGTGGGTGGTGGGTGGGTGGGTGGGTGAGTGAGTGAGTGAGTGAGTGAGTGAGTGAGTGAGTGGGTGGGTGGGTGGGTGGGTGAGTGAGTGAGTGAGTGAGTGAGTGAGTGAGTGAGTGAGTGAGTAAATACAGTGGTTGAGGGATTGCAGTTTATGAGTCAGTGATTCAGATGTGTTGGACGAACCTAAAACCCTCCAATAACACTCTCCCGCCAAACAAGAATAAGATAAATTGTGACAAACATATTAACGAAACCTAAGTAAGCACGTCCTTACAAATTTTCTGCAAGTTGAGTCTTAGAAAGGCATTTAGAAGTGATACACATAAGGGAGAGAACTTTGGATGTCAACTTCTTTATTAGGAGGAACACAACGTTTCGGAGTATATACTTCCCCCTTCTTCGGGTGAATGATGAAAGACTAAGTTGTGTTCCTCCTAATAGTGAGTGAGTGAGTGAGTGAGTGAGTGAGTTTGGTTTAACCCCGCTTTTAACATTATTCCAGTTATATCACGGCGTGTCAGCTTAATGTGGGAGGAGAGCCCGAAGTGATGCTGGTCTCAAACGTTTACCACTTCGCTGAAACCCACGTGCACGGGTATCGTGCTGACAAACCTAGAAACATAATCGGGGCGAACCGGGATTCGAACCCACAATCATAGGTTCCTGGCGTGTCCAAGGGAAGCAACTCTGCACAGCGAATCGCGGCGTCTTGGACGACTGGGCCACTCGTGCCCCCTCCTCCTAAGAAAGACGTTGACATTCAAAATTCTCTTCCTCTGCTTCAAGTTGTTCAAAACAACACTTCACACTTCATAATATAAAACGTCATCCCCTGAGAATTAACAGATTTCTTTTCTCGTGAACGGTACAGTAGCGTGAAAATTGTATGAATGGATAACTGAAAATCAGTGATGACACCAGGTGTTCGCGAAAAGGTAAGCATGTCCTGACCTGTCCGTCCCTGTCTTCACGTAGAAGTCAAATCAGTCTAACAGTCGATTACCCTTCTCACACAGGCTCAAAGCCTCCTTTTAACACAAGGTTATGGTTGCTAGGTCAAACCTAATTGGTCAACAGATTGTTGGGTTTCGCTTTCAGATCATCTAACCTACTACAGAAACATACTACAGTAAACTACGGTTATAACGAACTCAAAGGGACTACTATTTTTAGTTCGTTATAACCGTAGTTCGTTATAAGCATATATACAGCATAGCTACAGCAAATAGTCGGGACTAAAAAGTAAGTTCGTTATATCCGTCAGTTCGTTATAAGCGTGTTCGTTATAACCGTAGTTTACTGTATTAGTAAAGTCAGTTTAACTAAAATATGGCATTGTCATGCTCTAAATATGTCCATGTTAACACAAAATGCTCTCTTAAATAATACAATATTTATTTTTCAAAGATATTATGTCACATTTCTATCTCTGATTGATGATCTTGATCCATATGCCAATACACTGTGTGTGTTTGTACCGTGAAACCCCCTTAATCCGCAAAGCAATGTTCCTGATAAACGTTTCCGGATAACGAATCATGGTATCAAGTGATGTCATCTGTGAACGTTCCCCAGGAGGTATCAGCGGGAGGTGAAGTAAAGTTGGGATTAACGTCACGTTCAGGATTATGCATTTATATAACGACTATATGCATGTATGTGTGTCTGTGTGTGGCTGCTTGTAAGTCAGGACTTATGCTGGTTTGTAGACAAAGCGCTACCCCATTGAAAAAACATGCCGCAGTTTAACATGGATACGCCTCTCAGGCAGCAAATTAACATGGCTATATACGTCATTCGGCCAGTATAATGACTCCGATCCGACCAGTCCTCATTTTATCCCCTTAATGCCGAGCGACAGGCAGGGTAACAACAATTACCATCTCTCCAGGCAGACAGTCTAATCAATAGACCACTAGGTATCGACTAGAAGTTGGAGTGTCCTGATTAACGGGGTCCTGACTAACGAAGTTTCACTCTGTCGGGTTGTTACCTCAGCTGGGGTCATGATGGTATCCTCCAGCCACCGGGACACAGCTTGTTGGAAGACGTTCCAAAAGTTGAAAGTTCGCTCCCCCAAGCCGGGGGTTCTCTCCAGCCAACGCTGTTAAACACAAACATATTAATTAAGTGTTTAAGTGGGTTGAACATGGAGATATGATCGTTTTATGGATAACAAGGGGGCACGGGTGGCCCAGTCGTCTAAGGCGCCGCGATTCGCTGTGCAGAGTTTCGTCCCTTGGGCACTCCAGGAACCTATGATTGTGGGTTCGAATCCCGGTTCGCCCCGATTGTGTTTCTAGATTTGTCAGCACCATACCCGTGCTCGTGTGTCTCACAGAAGTGGTAAACGTCTGAGACCTGCATCACTTCGGGCTTTCCTCCCACATTAAGCTGACACGCCGTGATATAACTGGAATACTGTTAAAAGCGGCGTTAAACCCAACTCACTCACTCACTATGGATAACAATTTAATGCTTGTAACTTTTCAGGACTAATAATTGCCTTTTCATCGGGTTGGGGAGGTCGGGTAGCCTAGTGGTTAAAGCGTTAGCTCGTTACGCCGAAGACCCGGGTTCGATTCTCGACTTGGGCACAATGTGTAAAGCCCATTTCTGGTGTCCCCCGCCGTGATACTGCTTGAATATTGCTAAAAGCGGCGTAAAACCATACTCACTCACTCATACCGACCGCCCCAATAAGATAAGAAAAGGAATGATCAGGATGGACAGTACCTAATCCTTGTCAAATCACATTTCTCCTATCTAGATCGCGATAAAAAGGAAATACGTTCGGTTGTTTTCTTCTCAATATATACACTATGTTTTGTGTATAAACTATATTTAGTAAACGTGTGAATGATACTTTATGCCGCATTAGTTCCAGCTAAATCGAGAGAGCTTGTCAAGTCAATCGACTTACCTCCACCAGTGCCAGTAATGATGGGGACTCCAGCGAATCCTGGAGTTGCCGGATAGACTTGGGGTCGTTGAACACCTTCATGTAATGCTGCTGGTTGTACTTGATGCGGGTGTCCTGGCGGAGATACAACAGGTGTTACCCACAATACAACGTTGTACTTCGACAAGTTATTATAGAAAGTTGGAATCCTGCAAATCTTTACGATGTCGGTTTAGGAACCATGTTTAACAGGCGTAACCAATAATACAAAGTCACATTTCTGCAAATCCTGCAATATAAAAGCTTTCATGCTTTCTTTCCAAGTGTGATTATACAAAGAAGTTATTGAAAATACATCGCAATTACTTCACATTATGTAGTATGTCTGTTTATTTATGTTCAAAGTTATAAATAAATTTTACCAATCATGTGGCGCTCGAGCTCACCTGGTCATAATACCACGTCATTTCGTACACTTTTTCGACAACTTCAGCAATAATTCAGCAATATAAAGGCCACTTTGCCATCCATATATATCATATTGGCTGTCGAATCCGATGTTTAGTTAAATTGTCAATTTGTTACAGACCGCCGTCAAAAAGCTCGAATATTGCTGAGTGTGGCGTTAAATAGAAAACAAACAAACAAACAAGCAAAATAAGTGAATATTAATATATTCCTGTTTAAAGAAGATGCTATCGTACTTCCTTGACGCCCAGCTTATTTTCGATCAACCGGAACTGAAGACTCTGGAACCCGGATGCTGTTGCTAGGTGTGTCCTGCATGGCGACAAAGTATTACATGAAAATAATATTGTTCATCTATAGATCATTCATTTATGATTTGGTTGGTTGGTTGGTTTGTTGTTTAACGCCGCACTCACCAATATTCCAGCTATATGACGGCGGTCTGTAAATAATCGAGTCTGGACCAGACAATCCAGTGATTAATATCATGAGCATCGATCCACACAATTGGGATCGATGACTTGTATCAACCAAGTCAGCGAGCCTGACCACCCGATCCCGTTAGTCGCCTTTTACGACAAGCATAGTCGCCTTTTACGGCAAGTATGGGTTGCCGAAGACCTAATCTACCCCGGAATCTTCACGGGTCTATTTATTTATGAACTTATTCATTCATTGCACTACTCAACGGAACTTAAGGAACACCCGCAGTGTTTATATGACTATAGTTAATCTGTCATGGCTACTGGGTATTGCAACACCACTTTCGGTGTTCTTTACTTGTTTTGAGGAGTATATCATGCGTCATCCTGCATTACCGTAATGTGTATCACAACAGCTTTTCCCTTGATTGTCTTTGTGATATAAAGGACACGTGGGGTCAGTGTTATATATAATTAGCAGTTTGAAAATATATACTTGTAAAGAGTTCAGAATGTGTGTTAGTACAAAATATGGTTGTAAGTCAAACTGGCACGATTGGATGTCGGTAGTTCCGTCTCAGGAGATTGTTGAAGGATTGGATCTCTGACCATTCTCTTCACGGTTGCTCACCTGAACTCAATGAAGTCTAGTGGGGTCATCGTCTCAAGGATTTGGAACTGGTCAACCAGCAGCTGTCAAAAGAGTCATCAAGGCCATTAAGAGATACTCCATTGTCAGCCACAATAAGAGACTGACCGTTTACTTTGTTTGTTTGTTTGTTGTTTAACGCCGCACTCAGCAATATTCCAGCTATATGACGGCGGTCTGGAAATAATCGAGTCGGGACCAGACAATCCAGTGATTGATATCATGAGCATTGACCCACACAAATGGGATACGATAACATGTATCAACCAAGTCAGCGAGCCAGACCACCCGATCTCGTTAGTCGCTTCTTACGACAAGCATAGTCGCCTTTTACGGCAAGCATGGGTTGGTGAAGATCTATTCTACGCGGATCTTCACGGCTGGACCGTGTACTAGTACCGTGGGCTGGTTGGCATGTTATATGGCTGTCTTATATCAGTGACATGTATAATACGTAATATATTGATCACGTCAGCACCTGGTATACAACTGGGACGTGTATCATCTAGATAGGCAAGATGCAAAACGGGGCACTGGTGGCCCAGTCGTCTAAGGAGCCGCGATTCGCTGTGCAGAGTTACGTCCCTTGGGCACGCCAGAAACCTGTGATTTTGGGTTCGAATCCCGGTTCGCCCCGATTATGTTTCTAGGTTTGTCAGCACCATACCCGTGCTCGTGGGTTTCACCGAAGTGGTAAACGTCTGAGACCTGCATCACTTCGGGCTTTCCTCCCACATTAAGCTGACACGCCGCGATATAACTGGAATATTGTTAAAAGCGACGTTAAACCCAACTCACTCACTCACTCACTCACAAGATGCAAAACTGAAACAAGTATTATCTAAAAGTAATAACAATAAAAAATGTACTGATTACACAAGCTATTGCTCATATAACCTGAACCTCGTTAACCTGGACACCCGATATCAGGACGATTTTGTTAAAAACGTCTAATATACAAAGGGTCAATACCATTTGTTTTATAGACGAATTCAATTGGGACGTTCAGGGGTTGCCAGTACAATGAACACATAAGTACAAACATAAGAATCAAGGTTTAAAATGACGTCTTTCTGTTCATGTCTATTACATTTCCAATTTTGACATTGTACGTTTGTCATCTAACCATGCAACCAGTGATGCATAATTAATTTCAAGGAATTTGTCATTGCACCCAAATTCATGAGTAATTGCAGGGTGAAACTTTGTCTGGATGTAAATATTTTGCGCGAAACACTTACTTTACTGTTTGTACATTGTCGTACCTCGTTGTGCATATGCACACCTCGACACCACATTAATCACGGCAATAGTATTAAAATGTAAAATTTTGTCATTAAAGCGAAACAATGCATAAAAATACGATATAATAACCAAGTTGGTAACTATATATGGTATCAGAGCGTATATATGAATATATATGTTGTGTACTACGCGTCTTCAGGTCCGAAATGCGTGGATAGGTGCTCATATTATTAATCATTGGTCGATGTCATATATCTGGACTATTGCTGAATGTTGCGTTTAACACACACACAGTAACAATATCCATCATGTAGAGACGTACAGACGTTTCGAACGGAGCTGTATCTTACCTTGAGGATGAGGACAACACGGTTGAGGCGACTGAGAACAAGGAGTGTCTTGCTCTCATCCATTTGCTGGTGAAAAAACACATACAGTTGTCATAAAGACAAAACTTATGTCAGTATAAAGCTCTAAAATGTTTTTCGTACGAGCCATTATTCTACCCTCAAATCAAAGTTATAAAAGGCGGTGCCCAACTATAGTTTCATTTTTACTGGAATTTTTTAAAACAATTAATGTTTCATTTCATTTTAGCCGGATTATTTTTGAAACAATTAATGTTTCATTTCATTTTTAGCCGGATTGTTTTGAAACAACTTATGTTTCATTTCATTTTAGCCGGATTTTTTAAAAACAATTAATGGACCCAATGTGTTACGTTAATGCTTAATGAAGGATCTTTTTACATTTAATTTTAATGTAAATATGTGTCGTAAATCGAAAGATATTGATGCTGTTAACAGTGTTTGTACCAATTGTGACAGGTGAAGTCGAAGATGAATTCCATGTCTTATTTAAGTGTAACAAGTATTCCAAGTTAAGATCTACATATCTCTCCTTCTTGAATAATGACTATACATCTGAAATGCTAATGATCAATATTATCAACTCACAAAATAAACATGTTATCTTTTCAGTGGCTACTTATATAAAGCGTGTTTTTTCTATCAAATTCAAGAAGATGTAACTTCTGTATATGCACGTGACATCATATTATGAGTTAGTATCAATTGTACTTTAGGCCATATGGCCATAACACTGAATAAACCTGTGTCTGTCTGAAGGATCTTTTTACAATAAAAGCTACATAATACATTTATTTTAAAATGCCAGGCCAAAGAAAATATTCATTTGAACATTGGAGTTGACCAACATATTACACGTTGTCAAAACTTTACCAGGCTTCACAGTTCGTTATATCCACCAGTGCGATATAAGCGTGTTTGTTATTAAGTAGCCTCTTTATAATAACATACATGTATCTTGTCTTTACTGTTATCAAAACGTTACTAGGCTGAAAACAATCGCCGAAACACTGCAAACTTAAGGCCCAGAAAAAAAGTATGACACCTGTGTCAAATACATCCTATCGTATAGCCATTTCTCATTTGTTTCATTTTTAGCCACCATCAAACATAGGTATATACGTTTTTTACCCGGCAATGTATATTTTCACTTTTACCTGGAATTTTTGAAACACAGGACGATTCTGTTTAGAATTCAAGTCATGGAAAATATCCATATAAAACATCCGATATTTCAATGCTACCTATGTGGAATCTTTAATGTGACGTTTATGTAGAGAATAATTAAGCAGTTTGCTTGTGTTTTTTTTTATTTGTATTGAAAATAACAGACACATTGTTTGTTGAATCCGAACAGGTACCAGGAAGGCTTAATATTTTATGGCGTGACTTATTGACATACATGCACGCACACTGGAGATCAGGTTATGAATAACATACATCGAAAAATACCATTAAACGTAGATCTATTTAGCCAGTGGACTTTTCACAAACAGCTTCAGGTTTGGAAAGAGGAAAACTTTACAAGGTTTGCTGAAGTAATTGTTTGTTTTGTGAAGTCAAGTTGAATTGCTGATGTGTTCCGAAAGAGGATTCCTTCAGTGACGTATTAAGGCCACGTGTTACTTCAGATCTTCCAGTCTCTTCGTACGGCTCGATGACTATCTAGGTGCATTTCACGAAAGCCTCTTAGCGACACGGCGCGGTTTTTGAGCCTCTTAACCCCTAGTGCCACGGGGCCATATACAGTCTTTCACGATGCAACCCCCTTAGTGGCCCCGAGATCATCATCATCATCATCATCATCATCATCCAAACATCACGGCTTTAACATCGTCATTCACATTTAGGGGTAGCCTAGTGGTTACAGCGTTCGCTCGACATAAGCCCGGGTTCGACTCCCCACGTGGGTACTAAATGTGCAGCCCATTTCTGCTGTCCTACACCGTGATGTTGCTGGAACATTGTTAAAAGCGGCCTAAAATCATACTCACTCACTATATAGCGATACGGTTTGCGAAAGACGGGGAGTTTAGTAAAGTGGTTACCGCGCTTCTTGGCCTTTTGCTGTCATATTTGAACTTCAAGCAAAAGAGGCCGAAGTATGATTATACACGTAACCATGCATAGTTTTGTATCAGGCAGTCAGTTTTGGTTGTCATTGATTACACTTTGTGACAGTGTTGATAAATTAACCTAACCGTTTCACATATTAATGCAAAAGGAGATTTCAAAAGTGTGGACACCTCTTCAAACGTGAGTCGACGCTATATTGTAAACATATCTTGTTTACTCGACTCTGCTTTATGAAGATATTTTAATTGGATATAGAATATAGATTGCTTTATTATTATTATTATTAATATTATTATATTCAAATGATATTCAAAGACAATAAAGTGCATATAGTTGATTGATTTCGTTTATATTTATCATAATATTTTCTTTTTACTCTCCACTTATCTGATGATAGCGAAATAATATGTTTTTAATTTCTGATTAATTTCTTATTGAATTGTCAAATACTTCTGTGGCATGTGATTACATAATTCGGGATTATCTTAATCACTTTGGCTCCGTAATAAAACTTTGAATTAGGAATGCATGATGTAATCTTAAACTATATGTTCCCTTCATGCTCAAGTTAGCTTGGCAAACATAAAATATAATACACAGTTAATGAAAACCATGTACAAACTTGCAAGTTATATTTTATTATTCCATAATATTTTATTATTCCTTTTTTTTAGAAATAATTCCATTGATTTAATTCATCTACTATTATTATCGAACGCAATCTTTAATTTTATAGCTTTGGAGGAAATGGGAACATTAGCTTTTTAAATTTGCACGAATGAGACACCTGAAGCTTAGATAAGTGGCATGCGGGGTTGCACAACGAAGCGATACTTCTATCACAATGCACCGAGTTTCGAGTGATCGTAAATGGGTTTATACAGTATATTTGCAGCCCAATTTTCAACGAATTTGAAAACACGCTTTCTTAGTCTTGGGTGATAGTAAGTAATTTAACCTCGTTAATTTAGCAAGAAGACAATCCGGTCGGGCATCGCTTAAAACTAAGACCATGTTTTTCTTGGAAAGTTGTCGAAAAAATGTCTGTATGAATTTGGCGTTAACAAAGCGTGTTCGTAAAGCGTCCCTAAAATATACAAATGCCAAATTGAGAAATATTTATGGAATAAAACATTAGGTCACAAACATTGAAAAAGGAATGTGTGGAAGAGAACAGGAGAGACAGATCTAGATGTAGAATTGGAACACCCTGATAAACGCTCTAAAAAAGTGAGACAATTAGAAAAAATATTGTTATGTCTTGTTTTGTTGCTTAAAACATGTCAAAGTTCACATGAAACAAAATGGTCTAAAGAACAAGCGGTTGAGAGCATGAACATATATCCACGCATCCGCAGAACGATGACATCATTTCCATAAAATAAACTAAAGGCACGGGTGGCCCATCCGTTGAAGGCACAACAGAGCCAGAAACCTGTGAACGCGGGTTCTAATCCCTGATTATGTTTCAAGGTTTGTCGGCACCATTCCCGTGCTCCTGGGTTCTACCTAAATGGTCATTGTCTGGGACTTGCATCACCTCGTGCTTTCCTCCCACCTCCCACGCTGTGGTATAACTGATCATAACCAAAATAATGTTCAAAGCGGCGTTAAACCAAGCAAACTTTCCTTATAATGTTTCCCATTCTCCGATAACCTGTACAATATTTCAAAGATTTTTATCGTCACTTGTGGGTGAGCTGGAGGCCGAGAGTCCGTTTGTTCAAGTGAGCGAGTATTGTTTTACGCCGCTTTTAGCAATATTCCAGCAATATCGCTTGAAATGGGTTTCACACATTGTGGCATGTGGGGAATCTAACCCTGGCCTTCGATGTGAGAAGTAACGTTTTACCAACTATGTTTTTTTGTTTGAGAAGTGTTTTTATTATATCTAGGACATACATTCACAACAATGAGGTAGTGAGTAAGTGTTGATTTACTCGGCTGTTTATCAATATTCCAGCAATATCGCTAGAAATGGGTTTCACACATTGTGGCATGTGGGGAATCTAACCCTGGCCTTCGATGTGAGGAGTAACCGTTTTACCGACTATGCTACCCTACCGCCTTTTGTTTGAGAAGTGATATTATATCTAGGACATACATTCACGGCAATGAGGTAGTGAGTAAGTGTTGATTAACTCGGCTTTTTATCAATATTCCGGCAATATCACGGCGGAGGACACCAGAAACGGGCTTCAGGCATAATACCCATATGGGGAATCGAACCCGGGTCATCGGCGCGACGAGCGAACGCTTTAACCACTAGGCTACCCCACCGTCCCCCGTTTGGTCTCACAGACCTTAGCGCTATGACGATTGTAAACCTATGTTAAAGTATAATCGCAGCGCTACAATCGAGATGACAAAGTGGACCCAGTGGTCTTCGGTTCCGCAAGTCGCTGCGAGAGTTGCGCTCCTTATGCGTGTCAGGATCCGATTCACAGATTATGATCATCTAGCATAATGACAGGTGGATTTAAGCCAAGTGGACAACGTCTTTGTCCGCAGTCACTATGAATTCCCCGAATTAGGGTGACACGACGTGAAATACGTTTATGTCATTACTGTGTTTACGAGGTGTTCAGTTCATTTTCAAACCTTATAATTGAAAAGAGAAACAATGTTCACTGTTCAAAGCGGCATTAAACTGAAATAATAATAATAATAAGAATAAGAATAATAAGAATAAGAATAATGATAATAATATTGTTATTATTATTATTATTATTATTATTATTAATTATAATATTCATAATGCGCCAGATTCCATTCACCAAGTGGATGCTCATAGCGCTACACTATTATTACCCCGGTCAATGGATCAGTGAGCACTCGATTTTCATTCTCAGCTCCCTGGGGAGTATACAACACAAGCTGCCTGTGAGGCGCTACCGGGTACCCACTCACTGCTGGGTGAACAGAGACACATTTCGAACAAAGTCACTTGCCTAAGGAGTGACAGTGTGGGGCAGGACCGAAGCCCTAGAAACTCTCAGGAGTCAAGCTGCTGAACGTGGTCACCCATCCAACTACTCTCCGAGACCGACGTTGCTTAACTTCACCTGATTTGTGATCTGTGCGCTGTGCACAGGACCACGTGCACTCACTTACCTTAGTATTGAAGACCTCCCGGACCGAGTCGATCTCGTACAGCATCTGCTTGAACCACAACTCGTACGCTGAAGGAAGGTAGATATGATAAACTTTATTATATATATATATATATATATATATACTTCCGTGTGAAAGACCGAGATTTCCGAAGCTGATAAAAGTAATATTTTTATTGCTGCGAACATACAACTTGATATTTAACTGCTGTGAACATGTAACAGTTTGACAGAACTATTGTCATGCAAGAGTTACATCCCCTCAAATTGTCTCTCTTTCTAGTGACGGGGGATGAGATATTTTATGAGAGAAACATGTTATTTTCACTGGACACATGAAATATCCTCTATATATTCATAACTGTCAAGAGAGGACACCTCGAAGTATGCGAATTCCTCAAATACAGCTGTTTCATGTCAGAATCATGAACGAGCCATTATACACGTGTTCTTGAGTGAGTGAGTGAGTGAGTTCGCTTTAACATGAATTATAATGTCAGTTTCTATACCAATAAAACATTAATCTGGATTGATCCAGCTTGATAACGGTGTAAGAATCTACATCGAAACGTCGCTGGGGGCGGTCGGGTAGCCTAGTGGTTAAAGCGTTCGCTCGTCACGCCGAAGACCCGGGTTCGAATCCCGACATGGGTACAATGTGTGAAGCCCATTTCTGGTGTCCCCCGCCGTGATATTGCTGGAATATTGCTAAAAGCGGCGTAAAACCAAACTCACTCACTCACTCACTCGAAACGTCGCTAATGCAATAAACCAGAAAGCTGTAAGTGTTCTTCCTCACTTATCAGCTTCTAGAACGCCAATCAAACAATTATTAATCTATATATTTATACACACATGTTCAACCACATGTCACAAATTTAAAATGGTCTAAATGGTCAGTTAGGACCGCACTTCATAATATAATTACACATTATATGGTAATTTAAATATTTAATGTTTTTCGTTTCAAAATATTAGTAATGCTGTTATCTTACATGTCAGAATATGCTCTAGCAGTGTATTGGTTTAAATTGAAATTGAAGCAAAACATAGACATACCTTAATTGTAAACTGCTATTAAGTGTAACAAATGTTATATTTGGGACAACACTTTCTTAATAAAATACAGATTCTAGTACTTTTATGGGTTGAGTACCAGTCCCGTATCATACAAGAGTTACCTCCCCTCAAATTGTCTCCCTTTCTTGATAAGGGGAGGGGAGATGGGGGGGGGGGGGGGGGGGGGGCGGATGAAAAATATCTCCTTCCCCCGTCACTCGATGAGAGACACTGGACACATGAAATATCCTCTATATATTCCTTACTGTTATTAAGTAACAAATGTTATATTTGGGACAACTCATTCCCATATTTGGGACAGTACAGATTCTAGAACTCTTTTGGGTTGAGTCCCAATCCCGGATGGGACTCAGCCTCCCAAAACTACTAGAATTTGTACTTTACTAAAAAAGTGTTATCCCAAATATAACATTTGCTACATTTGACCACTTTCTGAATGGCATTGTGTGTTCATGCTTTTATGTATAATTCGAATTCGAAGGGAAATATTTCCTCGTCATGTACACCTTGATGTACACCTTACTTTTGTTTGTTTGTTTGATATATGACGCCGGTCTGGAAATAATCGAGTCTGGACCAGACAATCCAGTGAACATGAGCATCGATCTACGCAATTGGGATACGATGGCATGCATCAACCAAATCGGCGAGCCTGACCACCCGATTCCGTTGGTCGCATCTTACGACAAGCATAGTCGCCTTTTACGGCAAGCAAGTGTTGCTGAAGATCTATTCTACCCCGGATCTTCAGGGGTCTATACCTTACAAACATGATCCGGTACATTGTTGTAAGCAGCGTTAATTCAACTCCCCCACTCTCTACATGCGCTGCTCACCTTGATGGGTAATGATGAACAGGTGCTCATCGTGGATGGCGGCTCCTGCCTTCTCGCTACACAGCTCCTGGCACTGCAGGAGGTCGGTGAGCTGGAGGGAGGTCACAGAAACAGAGGGTGTCAGCTATATTTTTATTGCGGAATATACATCTGTATGATCATAAGTTATACGTTACCTGTATTCAATGCCCCTACCTTGAATAGTACCTGCCAGATAAAGATACAGTAAACTACGGTTATAACGAACAAGCTTATAACGAACAGACGGATATAACGAACTTACTTTTTTGGTCCCGACTATTTGCTGTAGTTATGCTGTATAAATGTTTATAACGAACTACGGTTATAACGAACTAAAATCAGTAGTCCCCTTGAGTTCGTGATAACCGTAGTTTACTGTAGTGTATTTGTAGACTTGATTGTGTCATTCACTATAAAATTAAAGTCACCGCCCTGTTTGAAATGGGGTATATTTGATAGCTTCATATACAGTAAACTACGGTTATAACGAACACGCTTATAACGAACTGACGGATATAACGAACTTACTTTTTTGGTCCCGACTATTTGCGGTAGTTATGCTGAGTGTATATATGCTTATAACGAACTACGGTTATAACGAACTAAAATTAGTAGTCCCTTTGCGTTCGTTATAACCGTAGTTTACTGTAATATCAGCATATTCCCGAAGGCATACGCCTGTATCATGTATGGCTTGTTACACTTACCTTCAGATAGGTTGTGTAGTTCAGGCGTTCCTGCTTCGACATGCTTCTTATTTCGTTTCTTCGGTCAACTGAAAGTATTATTGTCACACACATAACCATCTTTCCTGAGGCAAGGAAGTTAACTGACTATAAAAGTTCACTTTCCATTCTTGCCGAACAAGGCAAGGAAGTTAACTGACTTAAAAGTCCACTTTCCACCCTTGCCGAACAAGGCTGGAATTATGGAGTTACATTTTGGCTGGACTAACGAGTCCATGCATTGACTAATCAAAATCGCGTAACGAAATCAACATCCGGTTCGTAAACTCTCGTGCAGATATCGGTCGATTGCACGATCTGGAAATCTTGTGCACCACCAACTCGGCGTCAACAGATATTTTCCAAATCTTTTCGTGTTTTTAATCAAGGTGCTCACGTGATTTGATGCACTTCGCGAAGTAAGACCATTTTGATGACAATATAGATCTTGATTATCGATCGATCGTCTTGACTGGGCGCCGCTATTGTTTGAAGTTAATGCAAGTGATATGAGAAGTGGAATCTGATTGGTCAATACGAGGGATATAGAAGGGACACAACTAGTAGGGTGGAATGGTGGAAACTGGACTTTTATAGTCTGTTAACGCCATTGCCTCGGGAAGATGACATATAACAAGGAGACAACGTAAAGGTGAGGTGTGGTGAAATACGTCGCATTCAAGATTGTCGCGACGTGGATGCACGTGTTCGTGCGTGCAAGTATGAAATATATGTGTGTGTCTGCCTGTACTTTTCCGGACTATTGTCGGTTTATAGTGCTAGCCCACTACAATACCATGCCGGAGGTTTACATGGCTACCCCACTCAGACACAGTACACTGACTCCGAGCGACCAACCCTTCGTAATGACGAGCGCTAGGCAAGGAAACAACAAGTACCATCCTTTAACGTCTTTTGGTATGACGCGGCCGAGGATCGAACCACCGATCTTCTCTCTCAGGACAAACGATCTATACATAAGTGCAGAAGAACAATGTTACAATTCATATATACATCTAATTTTGACCTTTTTCCAAACATCCAGTGGTCTTTCAACTATCCATTTTATTGTATACAAAATGGTCATCTATACGAAGAATTAAACGAAGAACATGTTTTATAATGACTTTACAATGATATTGACGTTACAAAGACATTAAGTGACATCGTACACAATGAGCTTCTCAGCATTTGTTTGTTTGTTTGTTGTTTATACTCCACACTCAGCAATATTCCAGCTTTATGACGGCAGTCTGTAAATAATCGAGTATGGGCCAGACAATCCAGTGATTGACATCATGACGACTATGCTTGTCGTAAAAGGCGACTAATTGGATCGGGTGGTCAGGCTCGCTGACTTGGTTGATACATGTCATCGATCTCAAATGCGTGGATGGATGCTCATGATGTCAATCACCGGATCGTCTGGCCCAGACTCGATTATTTTACAGACCGCCGTCATATAGCTGGAGTTTGGCGTTAAACAACAAACAAACAAATCCAATGAGGGCATGCTCGATTCACGGCACGAGTTTCAATACATAGATATATGACCTGTTTGCTTACTCAGTTTTCTTGAATTCTGAATCTACATCCCCCCAGGTGTTCATTATGACGCAACAGCAGTGACATACCACCAGACAAAATCCGTGACCTACATCTTGACATATCACCGACGGAGTCAAAGACCATGACACACAAGAAAAGCGAGGCAGGCAGCTCTAAAATGTCTCCCTTGCTTCACATGTTAGAGTGAGAGGGTATAGTTTCATGCCGTTTTTAGTAACATGCTAGCAACATCGCTAGAAATTGGCTTCACTCATTGTACCATGTGCGGACTCTAATCCTGGCCTTCGATGTGACGAGTAAATGCTTTAACGACTAGGCTACCCCACCGCCCTATGTAGGGTGAGGTGAAATGGGGTTTAACGTCGCGTCCAAGATTGTACTTATATAGCGACGTGCATGTACGTGTGTGTGTTTGTGTGGCTGCTTGTACTAGTCCGGACTGATGCCGATTTATAGTGCTAGCTCACTGAGATACCATGCCGCAGTTTAACATGAATACCCCACTCAGACACAGTATACTGACTCCGAGCCGACCAGTCCTTGTTTTAGCCCCTTAATGCCGAGCGCCAGACAGGGTAACAACAAGTACCATCTTTTAACGTCTTTTGGTATGACCCGGCTGGGGATCGAACCCCGGACCTTCCGCTCTCCAGGCGGACGCTCTATCACTAGACCACGGAGGCGGCCCCGCCCCATGTAAAACAAGTGATATAATTATGTCTAGGACATACATTCACGGCAATGAGTGAGTGAGTAAGAATGGATTTTAGTACGGGGGACACCAGAAATGGGCTCCACACAATGTATCCGTGTTGGGAATCGAACCAGGGTTTTCGGCGTGACGAGCGAACGCTTTCACCACAAGGCTACCACATCACCCTCACTGCAATGATATGTCATAATCTTTAGCGACGTTTCGCAATTGGTGTACTGACGGGTCAACGTATATACAAATAAAAGCGATTTCATATCTGAATAAGAAATATTTTCAATATATTCAGCTCTGCAATTTGCTGTGCACAGTCGCATCCCTCAGACGTAACAGGATCTGCTGATTGTAGGTTCGAATACCAAATCCGCCCTGGTCATTGGCTTGTCAGCACTATATACAACCTACGTCACTTTGGGATTCCCTAACATGTCGGGGAGCACGGGTGGCCCCCTCGTCTAAGGAGCTGCAATTCGCTGTGCAGAATTGCGTCCGCACGCCAGAAACCTGTGATTGTTGGTTCGAATCCCGGTTCGCCCCGATTATGTTTCTAGGTTTATCAGCGCCATACCCGTGCTCGTGGGTTTCACCGAAGTGGTGAACGTCTGAGACCTGCATCACTTCGGGCTTTCCTCCCACATGAAGCTGACACGCCGTGATATAACTGGAATACTGTTAAAAGCGGCGTTAAACCCAACTCACTCACTCACTCACCTAACATGTGGTATAAAAGAAAAATCCTGCCCTAAGCAGGTCAAACAAAACTTACTTACTCATCCTGTCAGATTATTTCTTCTAAAAGAAAAAGACGCCACACAAGCTGAGATATATTACATGGAAGGAGCACTAGATCATCAGCCACATAGAAACATTCGGATTTATTGCCAGAAAGTCCTTGAGGCATGTGGTATTTACGTAGAGGGGAATGTCCGAGTAACTCTCCATTCCTTAAAAATAATGGAGCAGAGGTCCCGCAGGGGCCGAGGCCCATTATTTTTAAGGAATGGAGAGTTACGAGGATATTCACCTTCTTAAAACTCACCCCTACTTTTACACTTTGACAAAATATTCTGCAGTTGAAAATATTTGAAAAAATTCAAATGCTGTTTCAAGATAATGTACAGTTGTCAAGCAACTCTCCATTCCTGAAAAATAATGGAGCGTTCAAACAATAGAATGACGTCACAGATGTGTTTTAACCCGTGTGATTTACTGGACACAGAGAAACAAAATACGCCTGCAAATGACCAGAGCATCACGCAGAGGTATCGTGCCCGAGCAGTCATGCGTGGCCAACTCGTGTTTTTCCGGGACAAGCCGAATACTTGAGCCCCTCGAGGACATTTTTCAGACTGGTTTTCGTTTAAGCGCAAACGGGCATAGGTAAAAGAATGGTCAAAGCGTTGCGTAATGATTTACGTATTTTTTCCCCATATATATTCCAGAAGCTTTTGAAGACACATCAGGACTTGCTGTATTTATGCAGTATGATTGAACACGTTTAACTATATCGAGGGTATATTTTTAGATGAAAGACATATGTAAAATCAAAAATTATTCCTTAGGGATTCTTTGACCAAATTACAGAAGTGATACGCGTATTGTGATTGGTTTGTCGTATTTACGCAAATAACATTCGCCGATAGGGGGACGAGTCTTAGAGCAAGTTACGGAAAGGGGCGAGTGGTGACGAATGGCGCCGGAGTAAACAACCTGACTCATTCGTGACCAAATCGTGTTATTCTGGGACAAGCCGAATAGCGACTCGTGCCCCTCTCGTGGCCATTTTTGCGACCGGGTTCCGTCTTTGCGCAAACGGGCATACCTAAAACAATTGTCAACACGTTGCGTAAGGGTTCACACATTTTCCCAATTTATTATATTTATTTAAGATGTAATTTAAAGCACATCGGGACGTGCGGAATTATACAGTATGATTGAACACATCTAACTGTGTCTTTGGTATATTTTTAGATGCAAGACATATGTAAAATCAAAAATTATTTCTGAGGGATTCTTTGACGAAGAATTTGAAATCATACGCGCATTCTGATTGGTTTGTCGTATTTTCGCACATAACGTTCATCCACAGGGGGGCGAGTCTTCTTGCAGGTGACGGAAAGGGGCGAGTGGTGACGAATGCGACCTGACTGTGATGCAATTGGGCATTGACATGGCTTACCGACGAGACCAGTTGGGGTTTTGGGAAGAATTAGTTGGAAATTAGACGACGAGGTTTGCCTAATTACAAAAAGAAAATCTATTCGTTAAACCAGATATCCATAGATGCATTTATTTTATTTTCGAGTCGTATTAGGGGCGGTAGGGTAGCCTTGTAGGTAAGTGTTGGCTCGCCAGTCCGAAAGTTCGGGTTTTATAATCCCCCATGGATACTTCTTTGGTACACATGTACTCGAACAGTGTGTACTATTTTATTTCTAAATAAACAAACGCCGAAATAGGGTCTGTTTTCATTATTTGTGTATCCCCAATAGTTTATTAGTGAGTGAGTATGGTTTTACGCCGCTTTTAGCAATATTCCAGCATTATCACGGCGGGGGACACCAGAAATGGGCTTCACACATTGTACCCATGTCGAGAATCGAACCCAGGTCTTTATACCGCTTTAACCACTAGGCTACCCGACCGCCCCCATAGTTTATTAGTCCTTGTAACAGGGTTTCAAATCGGATATCTCGAATATCTGTATCATTTCATCTCTATATGTCCATCTCAAGGAGCCATTCGAAAGCAATAAGACCAAACAAATAA